CCAGGATATTCAGTAAGGGGCCTTAGATAGCTAAGTTAAGACACAAACCTATGTTAAGTAAAGGCTCTAACTTACAAAATGCTAGGACACTGAAATACCACAGTTCGGACCCAATGGTAGTTAGGCTGCTCTAGAATAACGAGGTTACTAAGCTAGGGACTTGGGTTACTAAGCTAGGGATTTGGGTTACTAAGCTAGGGACTTGGGTTAGTAAGCTAGGGACTTGGGTTACTAAGATAGGCAACATAGTTAAATTTGTCCATGAAGTTATTTAAATGTAAGTAAGAACCATAGCATACTCAGATAGTACCCTAGCATTGCTAAGTTAGTCCTCTAGGTTACGGAGTTCGGACTTCTAGTTACTATGCCCTAGGTTACAAGTTAGAGTCCTATGGTAACTCTGTTAGGGCCCTGACATTATAGCTTTAATTGACTGCGTTTCGGACCTAGGTTAGTAAATCATGGTTCTATAATAGCTAGGTTATATCATTAGTTTACTTCGTGGCGGCTTGAGGTTACTAAGTTAAGGTCCTATTATAACTCAATTATGACTCAATTATAGCTAAATTAAGGCCCTCGGGTATTGCGTTATGGATCTAGGTATGTAAATTATAGCTCTATAATGGCTATGTCGGGTCACTTGTTTACTGCGTTATGGCCTTAGGCTACAAAGTTTGGGTCCTGTGATAGCCAAGTTAGGGCCTTGACAAAGCTGAATTATAGCCTTAAGTTATAGCATTACGACCCTATCATAGCTAAGTAAGAGCTCTCGGGTGCTGCGTCACCGACCTAAGTAAATTGTGGCTTTGTCATAGCTGAATAAGGGCCTTCAGGTACTACGTTACGAACCTAGGTTACTAAGTAAGGTTCCTTTGATACATAAGATTTAGCTCATTTAGGGCCCCGATATAGTTGAATAATAGCTCTACGTTACTGCATTACGGACCTAGGTTACTAAGTTAGGGTTCTAGGATAGTCCAGTAAGTGCCCTGACATAGCTAAATTATAGCCCAAATTACTGTGTTATGGACCTAGGTTTTTAAGTTAGGTTCCTATGATAGCTCAGTAACGGTCCTGACCTAGCTAAATTATAGCCCAAACTACTGTGGTATTCACCAAGTTTACTAAGTTAGGTTGTTATGATAGCTAAGAAAGGGCCCTGATATAGCTAAATTATAGCCCAAATTACTGTGTTATGCACTATGATTACTATGTTAGGTTGTTATGATAGCTCAGTAAGGGCCCTGATATAGCTAAATTATAGCCCAAATTACTGTGTTATGCACCATGGTTACTATGTTAGGTTGTTATGATAGCTTAGTAAGGGCCCTAACTTAGCTAAATTATAGCCCAAATTACGGTGTTACGGACCTTGGTTACTAAGTTAGTGTCGTATTATAGCTCAGTAGGGCCCCGATACAGTTGAATTATAGCTCTGAGTTACTGCGTTACGAGAGAAAAGTTTGGGTATAAGTACAAAATTAAGCAGCCATCGAGGACATGGGATATAATGTACATACGGTTATAGATAAATGGAAAAAGGTATTGAGAACTAATGTTCAGACTGATGTTCAGTATATACCAAATATCCATGTGGCGTCATCAAATCATAGATCAATTGTACTTACATATATGTTTCCCCGTTAAGTACTCGATAATAAACATAGTTGAAAACCTAATTCAGTATAATACAATGCTAAATCTGTAAATGTGATTGAGTGCTGTCAAGCAGAAGGCGTATTTAAATACAAACGTGTTTGAGTACTAATGAAGGTACAAACTTTCCAATGAAACCACACTTTACGCCTGAGCTCGATCGTATCTTTATAACATTTCAACCGGAGATATGTCAGTAAACAAGACCGCAGTTGATATTACCGGGGTCAATGATTTTCTGATGTAGACCTTTTGTAAGTACCGGTAAAACAAACTATCGCGGGAGGGAAAAATAATCAATTTCTTTCACTTGATTTCATCAAAAATGAACTGGAACTCATTTACTCGTGTGTTCATTTGGCAGCAAAATGAAACGAAGTGGTCGACACTTACATGCGAATTATAAATCAGTAAAACTGTACCCGGACACTCCGTTATACTATGATCGAGTGATATAGAACAATATGTTACATATAAACGCCTTTTTAATTCACCTATAATCGATATGTTTACATTTCTCTGGTAAATATTTCGCCTGGATTTCCCTTTGGACATACGTAGTTACAGAGAAACATATCACTGATGTGGAATACGCTAATGTTTTCGGCTATATCCAATGTTTATGCAGGACATTTAACACTGTATATATAATATCCCTGTAATATGAACCTGTACTTCCTCGCGGATTACATTGCTATCAAGATAACCAGATTTACAGTGACGTTATTCTGTACAATAAAATTGTTTTTATTTTAGGTGACTAATACAAATCTCAGCTGTGAAATCGATTATAATATACATATAAAGCTATTTGATAAAAGGTCAATTGTTAACACCACTTTCATCCATACTTTAAGATTTATATATATCTGGATTACACCTGAACACATAAACCTATATCGCTAATACGACCAATCTAATTGTGTATGTGAAGTAGAACAATACCTTGACGTTTGAGACCATATATAATGTCTTACCAAGGGGTGGTCACCTGATCAGTAGAATCGTCACTAAATGTAGCATCGCGTCAGGATACTGGGGACATCAGAGTTCCACTTGGTCGGCTGACCAGTGGGATAGTGGGATGACAGTTTCTTCTAATACAAGGGATCTGAGGTATTTCAAATGGTTCATTTAAGTTAAAGATCAACATTTTCCAGAATAATATTTAATTTATATTTTCTGTGTAAATTTAGGCAGTTGAAAGTTCTAATTGCTAATATCACCTGTAAATAAATTTCTTTTGTAAACTAAGATATTAATTTTAACAGGTTTGTACTCTCCGGCTTGACATTGCTAAGGAAACTATACATTGCTGTCTCATGACATATATCAGTAAAATGTGTCATAACGGATCGCTCTAACAACACGCGACAAAATGTCGTCCAGGTGTAGATATTGAAACTTCTTTAAGTACTTTCAACAAGTGATACAGGACGTGTGTGAAGTAGGTTTGATTTATCCAAAGCTGTAAATCAATAGGAAACAAAGGAGTACGTTCATAGAGGACGCTATAAAATAATGAATATATCTTATCTCATCTGTAACACTTCACGTTATTCTTCCTTGTACATTCACTAACAAATCCAGTATTTTCTGTATACAATAACGATTTTCGATTTATAAAGAAAAGGGATATTTGCTGGGAGACTAGTCTGAGGTATTGTGGATTTTCCACCTTTAAATTTGTAAACTTTGCTATAATGAACACAAAGGTATGAGAAAAAATGTTATTCTTTAATTTCTTTTCTGAATAACTAATTGTCTCATATCTAATTGTCGATACTTAGATACCGTTCCGTCTCGTAGCTATTACACCCACATTGTCACTGTTATTGCACACATAATGTATATTTTTGGTGTTTTTCTTTAGGTACATTTATGTCGCTCTTACTTGTTAACATCACAAAAATTAATAACATATCACTTTTTTTCTTATTTGAATATATAAATCATATAACACTATATAGCGGAATGCTTTTTCGTATTAAAAGCAAAATTCCTAATCTTATTACTAGTATACTCATAAAAAACATTATCCCTACACTAAAATCATTTAAGACTAAAAGAGATCAAAGTATCAACGAAATACGGCAAAAACTAAAATCTACACATTTTTCTTTCCCTCATATGTTCCTTGCCACTCCAAACTCTCCTTTTAACCATTGTTGTAGAAGTTCCGATCATATTCGAGTCAGGATATACATATATCGACGCAAAATTGTCGTTCATATCCATTCCTAATGCACACACACACACACACACACACACACACACACATACACACACACACACACACACATACACCCTCACACACACACACACACACACACACACACACACACACACACACACACACACACACACACACACACACACACACACACACACACACACACACAACACAAATCAATAAAAATGTCTTATATAACCCTATTTCAGAGTAATAACTTGTATATAAACGCCGTGAAAGTTATATATGTTAATACTTGTCTATTTTGTAGTTATAACCTATATATAAATATGGCCCATTTTATATATATCACCTCTATATATACACAAATTATTCTTTTTGTAGTTATCACCTGCATATATATATATAGGTTTATCAAATTATACTTATCACCTATATATATATATCTTTATCGTTAACATCTGTATATCAATGTTGATCTATTTTGTAATCACCTATATATAAATAGCGGTCAGATTTGTAGTTTTATCAGCCGAAGGATTTCTTTTCAATGAGTACTATAAAACTGTCAGAGGGAATATACTTCACTGTACTTTTGCTTATTGGTCTTTGTAACACGTAGGCCTACCGTGGAAACTTGGATAAATAAACAGCTCATTATTATTTTCTATAAGGTAAATGTAAAATGTTCAGGTTCAGTTAAATATAACAAATTAAATACGGCGAGGTATATAACAAACAAGTTTTATTATAATGATGTCATCTCATCCAGCCGTGACATCAAAATAAACAATGGGTAGAGAGTTTGTGGTTTTGGCAGCAGTCATATCGGTGTTATTCTATTATCTGATTTTTGACATTATTGCTTTTTAATCACACCTGATTTTCCTCCATTGCCACATTAGCAGTAGCTGAATGATGCAGATGAATTCGATGTTTAGCTCTACTTTATCTTACTTTAAACTAAGAATGTGATATCAACTTGTGCATCTTTTGAGCAATCATCATATATCTATATTTTACTATATCAATACTTAATGTATATAATTATATAGCCTTTGTATTGATATTAACAACCATATGTACTAGTTTATAATAATCCCGTTTAATCGATCACCTGTTTACGGTATTTTGTCTACAAAACGTTATAATGCCGTATTGTAATTATTGTATTGACGTTAACAATCATATGTACTGGTTAATGATAATCCCGTACACTCGGTTACCTGTTTACAGTACTTTGTCTACAGAACGATATAATGCCGTATTGTTCACGGTATTTATCAAAATATGCACCATTTTTGTTTAATACACTATTTAATCGACACAATGTTTTGCTTATTTTCTGTACATACCTGCTGTACTATATTTAGCTGATTTTCCGTATAATAAAGACGTACTATTTTATGCCCAATATTACCATTTATTCCGTGCCAGATTTCCTTACAATATTGCCTTGCTAGTTTGTACATATTATCAGTGCATTAATCCATTATTGGTTTAATGATAATGTTCTACGTATAGCTGCACAATATGCGGTGACTTATGCAGTTAGTTTTTATTTACAGACCTTAAGCGGGAAGACAGTGACCTTTCTATCATGGCGGACGTGAAATTACCTCCACTACCTTCATCTCCGTCGAAGACATTTTCTCGGAAGCACACAGTATTGTCCACAACCTCAGTGAAGAAAAAAGACGACGAAAAAGACGAGCCAGAATCGACTAGTCCTCGCCTGGAATCTCGGAATCTTTCTCGGGCGTCTTTTAAGGCTCTGCAAAGGAAGAGGAAGACAAAATTCACACTTGAAAATGCCACTACATTTGATCCGAGCGAACCGTACGATTTCGATGAAGATGAGGAAGGTAACAGAACAAATTCATGAAACTGAAAAATATATAAACATGTAGAAAAAAGTATACAGGAATTGATTGATAAACAACTTTCCTTCTTGTGCATGTGGATATCCTTATGAAAATGCTCATCATTTCTCCTTTGCATGTGGTAGATATAACGACCAACGTCTGGCCATGTTCAGGAACCTTCATAAATTTTTGCCATTATTAATTGGCTATGAAGGCTACTCAAGTGATGATAATAAGGATTTATTTATATATTTCCAGCAGTACATATTGAGTACTCGCCGGTTTTAGATAGATCGCGTTCCACGTTCTTGTGGCTCTCTATGAAATCGCACAATAATTTCTTTCCAATTAGTTTAATTTTGTGTCCAAATTTTATGGCTTGCGAGCATGCTTGTGTTGTGTGATAGCATGATTCGGTTTGTGCGGTTAAATGAATAAGATAGTGTAAGATATATTTAAGATGTATTTTGTAAGAATGTATTTATTTAGCAATGAAATTCGGGTAAATCTCTCTATCTTCTAAAGGAAAGGGCGTAAAGAATGTTATTGTAACTTGTGCCCAATCCTTTTGCATAACGGTAATAGAATATGTTTAAACAAAAAATGGTGAACGAGTTTCAGATAAACATGAGCGACATTTCTAATAGCAATTATTGTGAAATTGTGTAAGATACAATGTATATATGTTAATCCATAAGGTTTTAATAAAGACCATTTCCTCCCCTACAGACGCTCCAAAAGCGGAACGCTATGCAACTCAGATCGAACAATGTCGTGCATTATATCGGAAGTCATGTAAACGAAAGGGTTTAATTCCAATCAAAAAGGTCTTACAGCAGATTGGTCAGACAGTGTTCTCAATAGACGACCTCCAGTTGTCCGCACGTGAACTTAAAGTCATTTTCGTCAGTATTGCAGTAAGTATATACAAATAGATGACTGAGATATCATTGGCTGTGTTTTGATTATTACAACGATATGCACATTTTATCAATGGCATGTAACACATTTCATAAGAAAGATTGTACACTTGTTGGACATTGTATAAAAATGGTTTTCCGGTTTTCTTCGTGAAAGTTTCCCAATAAGGATACATTACTAATTTTAATGAAAAAATTGTATGAAATATTGCTATGGGAAATGTAAACAATGTATGGTTCTTTGTTAATATAACAATAATTATTAATTTTTGAATCCCTCTTTTCCTCCTGTTTCCTGCTTTAGTTTATTGAATCCCACTCTTGAATCAGGTCGATTTCCTTTTCTGATGTGTAATTTCTGAGAAAATGGTAAGCAAACAGAATTCATTCCTCATTGCTGAACAAGTTGGGATTTGCTTTTATCGTAGTATGAATACTTTTAAAACTGTGCTATGAGTATTCAAAAGATTGTCTTTTCTGAGTGAAATAATATTGTCACACTTTTTCCTAGTTATTCAGTGTCAATATTTTTCCAGAATAACCTTGATGTCTTGGAACTCGATCTGTCTGGAAACAAACTCGGGGTGAAGGAAATCAGCTACTTGTGCCAAATACTGAAATCTAATAAACAACTGAGTGTGGTAGTACGTATATTAATGTATATCAAATAACCAGGAGTGATAGGTATATCATACACTTATCCTGTTATTGTATATCACATACACAGGAGTGATAGGTATATCACACACCTGTCATGTTATTGTATATAACATACACAGGAGTGATAGGTATATCACACACCTGTCATGTTATTGCATATAACATACACAGGAGTGATAGGTATATCGCACACTTATCCCGTTGTTAGATATTACTTTGATTTTGTAATACACATGTGAAATATGACCAAGCGAAGATTTGATTGGCTGAGATGAATGTTTCCATTATCTCTTATCACGTCAAACCATCATTGGTCTTAATAAATTGTGGCAAATAGTGTTGAATCGTTACCTCGCAAGAAGCATTCATATAAAAAATATATCTTATCAAAATAGAAACTGGTGTAAGATCCCCTATGTACAAATATACACAAGAGTGATACTGATATTGATGTTTAAGACAATAGTGATCTAAGACTTCTATAGTATTATGAAATATATTCAAAAGTATGACCCAGTGTGGTATTAAGTGCATAAATTCAAGTAAGAAGTAAAGTCTAGTACATGTATAAGATATGTAGAAATTAGTTAAGGATATATTGTTCAAAATCTCAGTTGAGAAAAGGATCTTGTTGGGTTTTTTTTTTTAATTTTATTTGTGGGGTTTAAAAGGAGTCTTTAAATATTGTTTTGGTCAAATCTCTTACCTGAAACATATTGACTATACATTTTCAGATATGATTTTATTTTGTTTTACACCAATAGGTTTTCTATGTTATTATTGAATATGTGTTGAATTTCGCTTTTGCTGCACTTGACATGTGTTTTGACAAATGTTGCCTTTATTATCAGATAATGAGAAAATGTAACCTTCATGGTCCAGCCATGAAGAACTTAGCGGACTTCTTGTCAACATCAAATACTTTACGGAAACTGGACCTGGGTGGTATGTATACAATAATATTCAAATTAGTCATTTAACCACAGTAGGACATTTACATCAATGCAAACAGGCATATGCGAAGGCTGATTTTTAAGTGAACCTTTTATTGAAGAAGTTAAGTAGGAATTTCTTTTTGCAGCTCTACTATTCACTGACTATTTAAGGTTGTGCACCAGAAGGCTAGTGTCATTTGGTCAGTTAATGTCGAAGAGGTAGCACTCTAAAGTAACCAAGATAGGTGGACAAAATCGCTGAAAGAGCAGTGATTTAATATTTGCATAAGAAAGGTCTAATACCTACAACAACGAATATGCCATTTACAGAATATATGCCAGAAACATACTTTCATTGTCACTTTATCAATATAGAATACAAAACTAATGGTTTGTTTGAAAGAAATGAAAAATAAAAAAAGGAGCCTTGTTACTTACATCCTCCCTCGCTAGAGGATGAACAATACATAGAAAGTAAAATGTAGACTATGTAAATAAACATTGATATTAACACATTTTCATATCTGCATAACAAGTTTGGCCTCATCAGGGTGTGGAGTAATACTTTAAAACAGAAGCGCTTGGTCGCACAAAATTGTTTTGATCAGTAAAACACAGCAAGGCTTCTTTGAAAAGATATGTAGGCATAAATGATAACGTTGTGTGATGATAATAAACGTAAAGTGACTTTGAATAGTGCGGTTAGGTTTTACGTATCTACATTTACTTGAAAAAAAAATGCAGAAACTAGTTTCTTTTCAGACATGTTCGTCTCTTGTGTTTGTAGATAATGACTTGGATGATAACGACGCCCCACACGTTGCAAAAATAATCGAGGTAAGTAAATAAACGAGAAATTATGTAACAAGTAGAGTACCATATGCTGATTGCTTGATGTATATTTTTGTATATTGGTCCAGAAGTAAGGTCATCGTTTTCTTTTTTAAGTAAAAACGAACTTTCCTCATCATTTTAGTTTTAGATTATTTCCTCTTTACATAACTCTGTTGGCAAGATAAAAATGACATTCGTAATGTTAACTGCCCTTGTGAACATGTGTTTGTAATTTATTTGAGAATAACATCATGAAAACACAAACTCACGCAAACTAGTGACGTAACATTCAATGACTGTACACAACTTTTCATTACGAAACATTTCATTTGATGGCATCATGCTTTGTATTCTAAACTCTGAAAATGTACCAGCTTCTACAATGTATTTATAGTCAGGATTATGAGCAAACGGGAAGAACGCCTAACTCGTACAAAATAACATCATCACTTTTTTTTTCTTTTAGAAAAACGAAAGTATCGGTCAATTAATCCTGTCACAGAACAAGCTTGGAGAGAGTGCTATTATGATCGGTCACGCCATCAGTAAGTATAGGTTCAAAACTAGTACAGAAAAAGTACTTTGAGAGAAAATAAATCTTCTTGTCTGAATCCATGATATTTGTGATGTATAATATATGAAACCTATTTACTTTTTACGTATTCTTGGTTTGCAATGACAACAAGTAGTCTGATTGCTAAATCCATATATAACGGTTAACAAATTACTTAAGTGACTGACCATTAAGATTTGTACAAAGACACGCAAGTGAATAGCACATTTGCATAATTTAGAATAAGATACAGTAGAGCCAAACAATGCATTTAAAAGCAGCTGAAGTCACTTCAAGAAAAGAGTTACCTTCCATGTACCAATATCTTACATACAAAAGCTTGTATATTAAAAAAGAAAAAAGGCAAAGCATAATTTTGAACTGAAATATTAATTCAATATTTTATTGACTGAATTTGTTTGATGACTGGTCTTGGTTAAAATTTCAGGAAGTTAACTATTTCAATTGCAACTAAATTGCTATGTTTTATTACTTTTACTTATATTAGTGTTGATGTGTAACATTGCGTGAAAATGACAATCCATCCAACGATATTGAAATATGTTACTATATATGATAAAATACATTATTATATAACCAAGTTTCTCTCTACTGCGAATATATCGCTTACTCCAAATTTAAACCTCTATGAAATTACGATTTGTTATGAAACCTTAGGAAAAATGCGAATTTCGTTTGGGTACAATAGCGTTCTTTTGCTTAATATCATATGTTTTAATGTTTGCATCCACACCAGAATGAATATCAAACATACCCTTTTGGACTGTATGGATAGGTTAATAAAACTGACCTGTAGGGTCAATAAGACTGGCCAGTAGTGAAAGGTCAGTAAGACTGGCCTGTAGGGATAGGTCAGTATGAGTGACCTGCATGAATAGGTTAGTATGAGTTGCCTGTAGGGATAGGATAGTATGTGTGGCCTGTATGGAAAGGTCAGTAAAAGTTGCCTGTAGGGATAGGTCAGTAAAAGTTGCCTGTAGGGATAGGTCAGTAAAAGTTGCCTGTAGGGATAGGATAGTATGAGTGGCCTGTATTGAAAGGTCTATACAAGTGGGCTGTAGGGATAGGTCAGTTTGAGTAGCCTGTAGGGATAGGTCAATAAGAGTGGCCTGCATGGATAGGTCAGTAAGACCGGTCTGTATGGAAAGGTCAGTATGAGTGGCCTGTATTGATAGGTTAGTAAGACTGACCTGTTTGAATAGGTCAATAACACTGGTCTGTAGGGATAGGTGAGTTTGAGTAGCCTGTAGGGATGGGTCAATAAGACTGGTCAGTAGTGATAGGTCAGTAATGCTCTAACCCTACAGCTCAGGGGAAATGAACTTATCCCACAATTCACATGAGATGAGCAAACCAAGAAAATCAGGGCAGATGCACTAACCCCCCAAATTTTTTTTTTCATAATTTCGGTATTTATTGTTTATGATATGATCTACTTCAGAAAGACAAAAAACGAATGACGTGTCTCACAGTGTTACTGTGAACTTTGGAAACTAATGTAAAATGTCGTTTACCACAAAAACACGCTTGATGAAATGGCTGGACATCTTGAATTTTCTGTATGTTGACATGGAAATACCAACATATGTTTTTATTTTCACGACATACAGAAGAAAACGAGATAATGGTTAGCCTTGACCTTAGCTGGAACCATATACGGGGTTACGGTGCTGTAGGGATCGCCCAGGGCTTAGAGGTGAGTTAATAGTATATTGTATGAGATCAGATCAGATAAAAAAAATAAACGATTATTACATGAAATCTGATATGAAATTACAACAACCATACTAATATATGGTATTTTATCACTTATTGTCTTGCAGAAAAACGTGAAATTGACAACAGTGAATCTAGCATGGAATGGTTTTGGGTTTGAAGGTTGTGTTGCCCTGTCTCGTGTATTAGAAAATAACTCCACTTTGATGAGCCTCGATCTGGCCAATAATCGTGTGCATCCACCTGCTTTGTTTGAACTTATAAAGGGTTTGGAGAAAAACAAGACACTAGCATCCTTAAGAGTAAGAACCATTTTGTGTTTGCTATTTTAGGGATAAATGACATAATCTATTGAACAATTGTTAAACATGTTCATCATTCGACTTACGTACATCATTCTATCAATACAACATCCTTGAATTGATTTAGAGACGAAAGAACCAAAGCTTTGCGTTAGCACTTCACACATTACTTGTCATACAAATAAAGCAACGTCTGTAGTTTTTGACAAACAAGCATTCCAGGTTGATTTCACCCTGAACATCTTAATTCCTATATTTTCAGTTAGCGCACAACCCTATTACTGCTCCGATGACCTCCATTTTACTGAATCGAATACTACATGCCAAGGAAAACACAATGAAAGAACTGGATATCGAGGTATTTTATTGCATCTCGTCCTCCTTCCCCTTTGTACCTAAAGTAAGCCATGGGAATAATAGAAACTCTCGCACCTTTTTATTGATTACTTTACAGCACGTCGGAAGTTGCTTTAAATGCTGAAATTGCTTTAACAGAAGTATGTTGGTTATGATTTCAGGGAGTTGTTGTAGACAAGGATTTCCAGCCCATACTTGATGAACTACAAAAAAACAGGATGTTTATAGTGCGATACGATATGGCACTACCTCTAAACAAAGCCAAGGTTTTCAAGGCCGATCCTAAAAACATATTTAACATAGATCCCATCAGGATACTCTTCTTCATGAAGGAACATCTACGTACCATCGACCTGTTCCTGAAGATAGACAAGGACTCTGACAACTCCCTCACGCGAGAGGAAATGCAGTTTGCTTTCGAGGTATAACGACATTATTTGATACGCACAATCCAACACATTTTAAGATAGTTTGAGTCTTGATATATGCGAATCTACATACTTACGTATGTTGACATAAAATATTAACTTAAGGATATTCATATTGTGATGTATCTAGGGCAGTAAAATGTGTATAGTTAACAAGAGAAACCCTTATTTTATGATTAGTATTAGGCCTGTCATATAAAAAATTAGCAGGGACAAAGTTCTTCAAATGGAAACGCAATCATATCTTTTGAAACTATATTGAATGCCATACTCGAAAGTGCAGTTTTAGATTCCGTCATGCCTTACATGTACTGTATAACTATATTTATTGTTACATAGTTGGAGGGTTACCCGATCAGCAGTGTTGCTTTAGACTCCGTCATGAGTTACTGTATAACTATATTTATTGTTACATAGTTGGAGGGTTACCCGAACCACAGTGTTGCTTTGGACTCCGTCATGAGTTACTGTATAACTATATTTATTGTTACATAGTTGGAGGGTTACCCTATCAGTAGTTTTGCTTTAGACTCCGTCATGAGTTACTGTATAACTATTTTTATTGTTACATAGTTGGAGGGATACCCGATCAGCAGTGTTGTTTTGGACTCCGTCATGAGTTACTGTATAACTATATTTATTATTACATAGTTGGAGGGATACCCGATCAGCAGTGTTGTTTTGGACTCCGTCATGAGTTACTGTATAACTATATTTATTATTACATAGTTGGAAGGTTACCCGATCAGCAGTGTTGCTTTGGACTCCGTCATGAGTTACTGTATAACTATATTTATTGTTACATAGTTGGAGGGTTACCCTATCAGGTATAACTATATTTATTGTTACATAGTTGGAAGGTTACCCGATCAGCAGTGTTGCTTTGGACTCCGCCATGAGTTACTGTTTAACTATATTAATTGTTACATAGTTGGAAGGTTACCCGATCAGCAGTGTTGCTTTGGACTCCGTCATGAGTTACTGTATAACTATATTTATTGTTACATAGTTGGAGGGTTACCCTATCAGTAGTTTTGCTTTAGACTCCGTCATGAGTTACTGTATAACTATATTTATTGTTACATAGTTTGAAGGTTACCCGATCAGCAGTGTTGCTTTGGACTCCGTCATGAGTTACTGTATAACTATATTTATTGTTACATAGTTGGAAGGTTACCCGATCAGCAGTGTTGCTTTGGACTCCGTCATGAGTTACTGTATAACTATATTTATTATTACATAGTTGGAAGGTTACCCGATCAGCAATGTTGCTTTGGACTCCGTCATGAGTTACTGTATAACTATATTTATTGTTACATAGTTGGAAGGTTACCCGATCAGCAGTGCTGCTTTAGACTCCGTCATGAGTTACCTTGACACCAACAAAGACGGCTCTGTAGATCTGCTGTAAGTAATATTATAGCATTCATAGTTTTGTTTACTCTCAACGGTGTGAACTAGATTGAATTCCATCACTTCCAACATTTAACTCCACTAACATTTTCGAGTAACATTTTGGTTTGGTTCCTATCACTGATTGTCTAGTGATCACAATCAAATCTTTTGGTTACGGGTCGTTAAAGTTTACTCTCAAAGGGTTAATATACGATCTGCTGAGTATGTTTGTGTTAATCTGTAATTAAACAAGTATAAATCAAATATATAAAGTCGATTTAAAGTGATTTTAGTTATGGTGACAGGCGTCCAAAAGTGATCATCCATTGATAACACATTTTGCTATTATGTAGAAACTGTTGCTTTTTCTGTGTTTAAATATATTTTACAGATATATATTACAAAATTTTATAAATGTACATTATGTAGCCTGTTGACATCAGTTAGATCGATAGAAATTAATACACATGTTAATCGTGGTTTTGTCTATTTTGATTAGAATCATATCTACTCATATCTATTTTACTTAATCCATCCGGTTTATATTATACATGACCTTTCGCTGTGTATGTCATACTTTTATTTCTGAAAATTTCCTTTCTTGAAATATTGATAATGTACTAACCAATTTGACCGTTGATCACACTTGTAAAGGATTGATAGGTTAGAAACCGGGGTGAAAAGGATGGAACGACGGTATCCAGGTACCTACAGGTAAAATGTTAAATATGCATGCTAGTTTTTGAAGCTAGAAAGGCTTGCTTTTTCGCCTTACTGGATCTCTTTTTGTTGTACGAGCCATCTTCTGTATTCCGTTTAATTATTCTATAACCATACTGAGTTATTAGTGTAATTAAGTCCGCATCCAAGCATGATATCATTTCCACGTTAATTCATATTTTGATAGATAAACATTTCAGTATTTAAAATGTATGTTGTTTGAAATCGTATCTTTGTTGTTTAAAAGAAACAACTTCAGATCATCGAGTTCACAGAATAGGCTATCAAATAATTTGAATGACTGATCTCCTCTTTAAGATACTCTTTCTATGACTTTCATCACTGTTACGCAATTCCTATTGGTCTTTATTTCAATTTTGTACGTTTAATAATTGAAAAATTCTAAAAATATAAGAACTCTGTTCTACCTTTTCTGTGACTAAGACTGACACTATTTCCTATTTCCTTTCCATAAAGCCACGAGACACTTTGCGATTTATAATTTCCATTGATGGGGTAATATAGGCTCTGGCACATTTGATACAGGTGAAATTGAACGATTAAACGTCCATAATTTGACGCATTGAAATCTGATATATGGTTAAGAGAATTTTGAATGAACATATTTGTATGACGATGATCCCCTCCTCACTCCTTATCATCGCCGGACTTTTAGGAAACAGTAACAGCACAAACAGGACTTTTTTCAACCAGGCTTTATGATAATAGATTTGACGTACACCATCATGATAAACGCTAAATGTAGCATAGGTTGCTAATCTTTTCTTACCACATGCCAGCTTTTAGCGTATTTTTATTTGTTCATTTTAATTCTATGTATTAGTGTTTTTATTGTGTACGATGTCACCTGAATCAGTTTTGATTCCTTTCTTCTTTCCTAGTCTTCAGCAGATGAGTGCAGCAAGTGCTACAGTTAACTAATGTTCTGTAGTAACCAGGGTAAATGGATGTTGTTGATTGGGGTGATCATAACATTAACTGACATACACAAAGTATTCACTATCAAATCCCAATCACATATCAACACTGTTTTCAAACTTTCGTATCTAAGGATGTGTTTGTTTCGAACAAACCTATTGACATGTATTTAATTGAATCTTAAATATTTAATTGAATAATGCCTAACCTAGTATTGTCTTTTAAAATGAATTATAAATTTGTCCCGTTTTAAACCCATCATCGGTCTTTAGGTGAATAGGAAGGAAAATGTGTGCTCTGATTTAATTTGTCATGCAATCTCAAAGGAATCTAATCGTGTGCATTGCTTACTTACAGTACATGTATTAATGTGCCTTTGTCTATGTTCGATATTTGTCTGTGTCGCATGGTTTAAACTCCTTGTAAGTTGAATCTCACTTAAAGAGGATGTTTTGTCCGCATTATTTGTAGTGTTATTTTGATTTGTTTTAAGATAACGCGCACTTTTCGTTTTGTTGTCTATATTCCGAGGATATTGGTTTACAAATCATTGAAGATTCGTTTAAAAAATATCGTTAAAACAGATACAACTAAATAAGAAGCATAAACATCACAAAAGTTAGATCGCTATTGACAATGTATCATTACTTTAATTACAGAGAATTCATTGAAGGGGAACGGAAACTTAAACGAAAGATCATCAAGGAAAGAGAGGAAAATCGAGCTGAAGCGCTTCGCACCCCTAACGCTAAAATCCAAGGGGACAAAAAACAGTTTTCACAAGCATTTGGAGCCCCTAAAGACGTAAGAAGCCCCATTTCCAAAAAGGCAGGGTGATATGAATATACGGTGTAATGATGGAAAACTGTGTTGTGAGTTCTTCTACAGAGGCATAAATGAATAAGACTATTTGAAAGACTTATTTCTCAAAGTCCAAACAATATTATAATATCCAATAACATTATAAGATAAATTCGGGTGGAAAAATCTGGATACCTTATAACACACGTATTGCGTTTGCGTTACCGTCAACCTTTCTCTTTTACATTAAAACAAATATATACTGTTGTTAATGTCTTTCGTAATATTTCATAATAATTACTACAGGACATTATGATATGGTGACGATATTTAGCTTTTATTTTTAATAAAGAATGTCAATTACAGTATGTTTAGATATTTTTGCAAAGCAGTTTGTTCACGGATATTAAGAATACAACAGAGTTTACAAGAACACAAATGTAACGCCGTCAAGAAAGACCGCCATTTTGTCAAATATATCATACTACGAACTAATCACTTTCTTACATCAGCTGAACTACTCCTTTATAAAGTAATTGGCCCTCTCCATAAACAGGTGGCCAAACGAGGAAGTCCACCTTCTTGCCCGTTTTTGTGTATACTGAGTAAACGTCCTTGTCAAATTTTGACCCGTTCTTGCACGTGAAATCGAGAAGTATGGGGGGATCGCTCACTGTCATTAGCCAACACACATCAACACACGCTAATACAAACTCCTCACAGCTAGCTAGCTCCGGGCCGTAAAACGATGCCAATGCTTCGTTGGTGACAATCTCCTGTAGGTCAAGATCACAAGAAAGAAGTGTATAAAATAAAAAAGGTTCAGGTGAGTGATAATACAAAAACAAAATCACTAATGAACAAAATTGTATCGCTGTGTATAGCTTTGTTTCATGCATTCATTACTGACAGAAGATGCTGCTGTGCGCTAGACTTGTTTGTTTAAGAAATAATTTAAGATAATATAAAATTATTCATTAAAAACATACGTTCTACGTCCAATTGATTCATGTGTTCTAAATCTAATTTTTATTCTGTTGTATACCAAAGTCGATTTACCTTTGTACTCCACAGTCATGCAAACTAGTGCTGATTTGAAACAATACCTTTGTGTTAAATTTACCTATAGATAATTCATACCTGCCGTATATTCGGAATCGAATCAACTGCCATTTCCTTCTGAGTTTGTTTCAAAGCTGCGGATAAGGCGTCATCTTTCAGCTTTCGAACGTGTCGTAGAAACTGAAAAATAAATTCAAAACCAAAAATGCATCAAGGAAAAATATTTCTTTTCCTTTAACATACTTTCTTTTATCGTAATTATTACTTCGGAGCTTGTTCCCAATTTCACTATCTATTGATTGTTTAGTTCCATATGTGATAATAACAGGATATCTTAAGCTTCTCATTATACGTGTTTAATGATATAACTGACAGATTCTTTGATATTTTTCGGATTTGGCAAAATTTTATGGAAAGATCCACAGAAGGTGACCTCTGAAATAGTTTAGAAGTTGTTGATATCTATTTTGATAATCTTCTAGTAACAGAGTTTTATCTATTTACACTAATATTCACATAAACACATTCATAGTTGGTGCGATACCTTCCCGTAAAACAGATACGAAAACAATGTGTAAGTGTTCTTTCGTTTTATGCAGCATAATTCTGTTTCTACAGTACCTCTGGTAATTCTGATCTCTTTACGGTCATTATCTGGTCCTGCCAATCCTCGATTTGTTCTTGTGAAAGTCTTGCACACATTTGGTAAATGCTCTGAGAAGATAATAAACATATTCCAAATATGGTCATTAGATAATCAACAAGTTCTCAGAATCTTGACATATGTGTGAAATGAATTTTCCTTCATCTTTCATACAGTATTATTGACTGCTTTACCAACAAGAAAACGGGATGAATCAAATGACGGTGAAATATGAATATTAATGATGCTGTTATTTATCAAATACTTTCAGAGTATCGGCACTGAAGAAACATGTGAAACAGATGTACAGTATAATTGTATAATTACTTCTCGCAATAAACACATGAAATGAAACTTTGATTTTTTTTCCTTTTTTCACCATAACCAATTCTGTGCATTTGTGAGAATTATGACAGACATTCCTATTTATTGCTATTCCAAAGTTTCATTTTCTTACATCCTTTTTACATCCGACAATACGCTAATTTAGTCTGACGAGATATATTGCTTTTGCTCTAAATTTATTTATCAAACAAATTTATTTTTTTTATTTTCAGTACTTTTAATTTTCATTTGTATTTAATAACAGTAAGAGTACTGACACCATGATGCAAACATAATTTTTCCTACGTTAAGTTAAGCCATACGTACCTGGATGACCTCAAGAATATCAGTTATTGCATTTTGTTCGGATTTTTTCATATCTGTCGTTTCAAACGTGAATATATCAACCCACTCTCTATCGTATAATTTTGCAAATTTCTCTGCTAGCTTAATTGGTCTATATCTGTCCGCAAGATCCGACAACTCACGGGTGGAGGGCTGTGACGTTGAATGGATGTCATGTAAATTTGGTGGTTCATGGACAGATGACCTTATATTATCACTTACTCTGTAAAAAAGAAAATGGTAAACCAAGATATCTAAACATGCTGACCCGAATGTTAAAATTAAAAGATAAAATGCTTAAAAGATCTCTGAGATTACATATCTCTTTTCTAAATATATTTGTAATTCAAATGTGTATAAATTACCTGTCAAGAACAGTTTGATTTGAGTACGCCGACACCACAAGGGATCTTTGTGAATCGTGAAGTTGACTCTCTAATAACGATACACGGCATGACAGCTTGAAGTTGTGAGCTTCCAGCATGTTGATATAATCCCTACTTGACTTATCTGTGGGACTTCCATCGGTCTGTTTCAGGTAATTAGACAATTCAGTATCATTGTCAGACGTGAGTGGTCGATCATCACCTAAACCTGACATCACTCTTCCACTAGACTGATCTGAGCTTCTGTTTTGTCTCGGTTGGTCATGTTGCGCGTTATGCCCGTCAGTCAACCTATCTTGTTGATCAGCAGTGTTTCGACTTTCTCTGTTAGGAACCACATCGTCCATCACCCTCTGCTGTTGTTGCTGCTGTTGTTGTTGCTGCTGAATGCTGTGAGTGTGGTAGTGATGATGTTGATATTGTTGTTCATTTGCATCTTGATGTTGTTTAAAATTTCTGCCATCTACACCTTTAATAGTCTGTAAAAGATCAGGATGTTGAACTTGTTCCGGTTTAGTAACAGCTACACCGTCTTGTGTTACTTTGTAGTCGGACAAAACAGTATTGTAGGACGGAGGGTGTACAGAACTGCCGAGTGTTTTCCCAATCGGATCTAATACTGATGCTGTACACGGAGCGTGTTCGTCGAAGTCTGTTTGAGTCTGTCTTGTGCGCTGAATAATCTTTTTCTTCTTCGTTTCGGGGACACTCTTTGTTGATGAAGCTGAGTTAATGTACTCTGTGACCCTAGTCTGTCTCACTTCCTTGTCTTCTTGTGGAAAGTCGGTTTGGGTGACCTTATCTATCTTCTGAGTTTTTAACCTTAAACAATGAAGAGATGAGGTTTCTATTGACAAACTTTATATATTATTCAGACATGCGATCAACGAGCTTGATATCTTCATTGGATAGTTATATAAATGCCATAAGGGTAGTTCAGGAGGACAACTATTGATAAGTATGATTTCAATATTTATGTTGACATGAGGACATGTTAACCTTAACAAACATCACCATGATATTTCTATAAAAGAACCCACTAGAATTAACTTTGTCAGTTGATCAAATGAATGCAAAATTATTTATCTTATCTAAAATCTGAACTAATTAAGAAGATATTTCTAACCGTTTTAGACATTGGACGATTTCGTTTGCGTCTTTTCTGTACTGTTTCAATACATCTTTTCTCTCTACGTTCACAACAGGAACACGAGGTAGTTTAAACTTGGAAGATATGGTGTCTTGTTTCAGTGCCGAGCACAACTTTTCAATTAATGTCGTTAAAAATATAGCCTCGGCTTTCTCATCTTCATTCCTTTTTTCGTCTTCCTTCTCGTCTCTGAACATGACAAGCAAAATGTCAATTATTTTCAATATATATAAGGTTGTTTTATTATTACATTAATAATAAAACTAAAGGATGGTTCGTAAACATCTATTTCAAGAGTATACATATTTTAACTATTAAAAATCATATCAACACAAATTAATCTATCTCTGTTACAGTTGAGCTCACCCCGTGTTTTCGTTTATGTATTCAATAATGTTCTTTGCCTCAACCCTGTATTTGCGGAGTTTCTTTCTGACATCATTTGGAACCCTTGGTGGCAGGACAAGCCTTTCGATATTTTCAGCCTCAATATCAGGGTCGAGATGCGCTATGATGACGTCAAGAATTCCTTGGTAGAAAGCAGCTTCTGTCTCTGCGACCTCTATTTCCTCCCGCATGGTCTTCGGTACTTCTGATGTCCTGATTTATAAAATAAGTGTTTCTATGTCGACGAAATAACAGAAATGCAACTCTGACATCTGATTATACTGACATAGATATCTTACGTATCACATACTGTACCAGTACATATCATGGTGCAATTCGTATCCATTTACATATACGCTTTGCTAATCCCATTAACAAGGGCCCTTTGTCTCAATATCTTAATTGATCTACTAAACCCGTCAACCACAAAGCGCTATACACATAACGTATATCTGGTAAATAGCACCCAAGACATTTCAGCAAGGCTTGGAATGCCAGAGATCAAAAGGGGGGAAATTAAAATCCAGACGAGAAATTAGAAATGATACAATATAGGGGTACATTGTACACGGATTTTAACCACCTTCACGATATTATATTATCTTCATGGTTTATTCCATTTAAAATGGCTATGATCGCTGCACCAGGAAGTAATACTGGTAGGTTCTAGAACATCTAAAAATGTATCCTTTATTACATCAGAACGGATTGAGTAAACTTATAGGGCGTTGTATCAGGAAGTACAAATATCATATATAAAGGTGTTACCAAATCACATAGAGAATTTACCTGAGTTCTCATTCATAGGAGATTTATGAAGCGAGACTCTCTTCAGAGAGGTAATTGAAAATAAATCATGACGAGTTTTATAATGATAATGATAACAGATTCTTTTATCACATAACTTATTTTCCGGACATTTACAGTATTTTATTGGACTGAACTGGCGATATTCTAACTCCATACAATGTACTTGTATCCCTTTCCTTGGTGTCGTCACAATATCTATGACGCCGTGAAGTCATGACGTCACATGGAAAACACTGGGAAGCAGTCACACACTCACCTTGTTATACTAAACATGTCAACCATGTAAAGGTTGTTATCAAAATTACAACAGGACATTTATGTAATTGATTCTAATATTATGATGACAGTATTCAGTACAACACATTTAAGAACATACACAGACACAATTATTTGATATTGTGATAACAGTATACAATAAATCATATATAAGACCATAACGAGACAAAGTTCTACATGTATTTTGATACATGTAGCAGTATCCTGTACATAGTATATATATATCACAACTAAGAATCGTCTACTTTTGTGATAACAGTATTATTAATAACGATATCCATTTTAACGTATATATGAACACTAACAGACAAAGATTCTATTATGAATATTATAACAACAATAATGTTTGTAGCATTGAAACAACAATAAAATGATGTTCTGTCGAAATTGTCTTTATTTTTAGTGACATATTCATACAAACCTACCATTATCTAATAAATATATGATATTCCAAAATCATGTTTCATGATATCTAAACTATGAGTGATGAAATAACTTTCTGATCTTAATTAAAAAAAGATGTATACATACCATGCTGATCTTGAGTTCTTGAGTCTCTTGCCATGTTTTGTAAACTCTGTAATGTCTAACGTATCATCACTGTCACTGTCAACAGCAGCTCTTGAAGACATGACGTCACGATGGCGTTCGGCTCAGAAGTATCCTCCAATATCCAGAGCTCTTTATCGTTCGTCAAGTCTGGAGTGAATGAGGTGGTGCTAAAAGTAAACAAGTTCCGGGTGTATTATGTCTTGATATTCTCGATCACACGTGTTATACTGAGAACGGTTAGCTTAAAATAGATCAATGGATCTTCCACATGTGTCACCAGCACACATAACTTACCGCTCACCTGTATCTTATACAGTACAGGTGTATATACATGTATATTACACGGCATTGACAGTTTCAACATACCATACCTTGCCATATCAAATTGTGTGTAAACCCTAATGTTAAAGATGATCAATATGAAAACATGAAGCGACGAATGCATTTTTATATAAATTACATTTATGTTTATATGGAAGCTACATGTATGTACTAAATATCCGAATTTGTCGGCCATACAATAACCAGCTACTTACGTTTTCATGTGACCTGATTATTCCCCTAATATGACATGTGGTTTCAACGAAAATTCTGTCAGCCAAAGAGTACCAACTTCCTGAAATCAGTACAGTTGGATGTAGAATACGTTAAAGAACTGGAGCATGACAGTTTGGCAACCGACGCGGTGTGGCTATAAATAGCCAAATAAACACGAACACTATCGATCTGCTAGCGTTATTACATTCAAATATTATTGTAAATTCAACGTCCTCTGTCCTACTTTTACTTACACAAAATCTTCACATAGCAAGACTTACTGTATGTGGTACAACTTTTTATCTGAATACATATATATATATATATAAACCGAGTGTCCAGGCAAGGTTGTATGATTCAGACCTTACATACATTTGGTAGTTTTCATTTGTTCTATCACTCACTTAAACGTTTTCTGTATGTTACATCCGATGTTTTTTTAATATACATGTGGTGCGGTGCTGACCGAATATGTGTGCTAAGTTATTTATTTAATATAAATGTGCTTTAGTCTAAATTATTTACACAAACATAGTTTTGTGTCATTTGGGTCCATTTTCAGTGTGTATAATATTCCACGTAGTCTATCATGCTTAAAAGAACAAGCAACTCGAAATCGTTTTTGGGTATACACGATTTGCATATGGTCAATAAATTGGTTGTTATGTGAAGACAAGAGATCATCAATATATCTATAAAATAAAGCAATTGGCAGGGTCTTTGTGACCTGTTTTGATAAACCCTTCAACAAATCAGCTAGGTAGTGTACTGATTGACATTAATGAAATAGTAGATATTCAACACAGTCTACTATATATTAGCTGTACTTCAAAATCGTGCGAAATCAAGGCAAGGGAGGTGGGGAGGGGGGAGGGGAGGGGCATTTTATCATCAGAAAGAACAGATAGACAAGACATTGAAGCGATGACATAACGAAGAATTATGGAATTACGGAAGACATTGTGTTAACTGTTTATGTGGCTGCTTCAGATATCAATATCTTAGTTAAAATCTCAATCGAGAAAATAATAATAATAAATACATATTTTCTCTAGATAACTTATCTCTGAATTAAAACCCCTCACCTCAATAATTAAGGCGGTAGGCATCAAAGCCGAGTCCTAGAAGGACGAAACACGGCTTAATTGTCTATTTGGCTGTATTGTATCTAATTCTAACGTTTTATTGAGATTGAGAGAGAGGTCATATCCACTTATGTGTCTTTTGTACAGTCGTAAACGTTTCAAATACCCAAGTTATACTTTAACACGTAAATCACTAATACCAACAATACTCAGTTCGAAGTCGATACTTATGCCTTCGATTGTCTTGTATGATAAATCATCATAATTGCTGAAACTGACAAAAAAAAAAAAAAAAAAAAAAAATGGGCAGCTGAGGCACGAATTCGGTGTTTGAGTTACCAATTGTGCACCTATTCAAGACTTTTTGTTTGTCTTTTTTTTGTTTGTTTTTGTTTTGTTTTTAATTAAGTAAGGCTATTTTGTATTTGAGTTGTTTATACGAGTACTTTAAACAAAGATTACATACGTATACACAGTGTATAGTGTTCATGACAGTTTAGGTTACTTTCATATTAAAATATTTGTTAGGAGATGAAAAAAATGTGTTGGTAAACAAGAGAAGTCACTATGAAGTCAATTTTACTATAGGACAGGTTTGGCTTGTAGTACAACTGCAGCATTTTAAGTAGGAGTTTCCTCCCCTTTATCAAGTGTACGTGTGACTCCAAAAACATATATTCAGTTCAGTCTGCTTCATTTTAAAGTTTTTTTTAAAATTCTTGTATACATTAAGTAGTTCAGATTATATAGTAACATATACAAATTTTATCCTAAAAATCAAGTTGTTTGAAACCTATAGATAATTCGCTGTGTGTAATGTACAACAATTTGTTATATATTACACGTCTTCCCGTCACAGTGGAAAATTGGCTTTAATTATGTCGTTATTCAAAAAAGGGAATAAAAAGGAGTCTTCTATCTATAGACCAATAGCTCTACTTAGTACTCTTGGCAAAGTTTTTGAACGTTTGGTTGTAAAATATCTTAATAATTATTTACTCGATAATTCGATAATTTTGAAACACCAGTCAGGTTTCCAGCCTGGTCATTCTACTGTTCATCAAATTATTGAAATTTATCATACATTATGTGAAAATATTGAAAATATGGAGTCAACGTGTTTAGTGTTTTGTGACATTTCTAAAGCGTTCGATAGGGAGTGGCACAAGGGATTGAATGTAAAACTAGCTAATTATGGTATAAATGGAAAACTTCTAGTTTGGTTGAACAATTATGTCGGTAATAGAAAACAGCAAATCTATGTAGGAAATAGTAAATCTTCCGTTAAATCTACAAATGCAGGTGTTCCACTAGGTTCGGTATTGGGCCCCTCACTTTTTATTTTATATATTAATGACATAGCTGATAACCTTGAAAGTCTCTCTAAACTGTTTGCCGACGATACTTCAATATTTGGCTCCGGTACTTCCCTTTTGGCCATCGAAACTAAAATTGATAAAGACCCGGCTAAAATTCAAAATTGGACAGAAAAGTGGCTTGTTAAATTTAATCCCTTGAAAACGGAAACTTTACATATTTCAAATATTGAGCACGATCGTGTCATAGATATTAAATTTAATAATGTGAGTGTCGACTTTGTAGACCATCATAAACATCTAGGGATAACTTAAGATGAAAATTGTAAATGGGGAAGACACATAGAAAATATTTGTAAAGATGCATCCAAACAGGTAAATATCCTTTGTAAAATTAAATACATGTTAAATCGACAAACTTTGGTCAAAATCTATAAAGCTCATATACTTCCATTACTAGAATACTGTTGTGAAGTTTGGGATGGGTGCTCTCTCAGTGATGCAGACAAACTAGAAAAACCTCAGTTAGAATCTGCTAGAATTATCACTGGTTTACCATCTTATATCAGTAGAAATTCACTCTATTCTGAAAGTGGTCTAGAACTGCTATCAGAAAGACGCTCTAGGAGAATACTACAGCTTTTCTACAAAATAAGTAACCATCTCACTCCTAATTATCTGTCCTCTCTGTTGTCCCTTTTAGTATCAGAAAACTCTCTATATAACCTCCGTCATGTGCAAAATTACTCTTTACCAAATTTCCGACTACAACTAACAAGTTTATCCTTTTTTCCGTCTACTATCCGACTTTGGAACCAACTTGAACTTGAAATTAAGACAAAGTGTTTCTTGTTCTATCTTTAAAAATTCCCTTCGAACCCCTACAGTGTTTCCAAATTATTATTTAATTGGTAGTCGTAAGGCTACTATACTGCACGCGAGGTTAAGAAGTAAATCCATTACCTTAAACAATGACCTTTTCAGTTCCAATCTTATAGATTATCGTTGCTGTGAATGTGGACATCCCGTTGAAGACACTTACCACTATTTTTTTGTTTGTAATTATTATACTAACCAGAGAGCGATTCTTTACCGAGAGCTAAATAATTTTATCCCTCTAGACCTGCAGTTACTTCTATATGGTAGCCTTAACTACTCGTATGAAGATAATGTAAAAATATGTCAAATCACTCAGCAGTATATACTTAACTCAAATAGATTTTGATCTCTCTCTCTCTCTCTCTCTCTCTCTCTCTCTCTCTCTCTCTCTCTCTCTCTCTCTCTCTCTCTCTCTCTCTCTGTGTGTGTGTGTGTGTGTGTGTGTGTGTGAAATTTAAAGGTACACTTACACTATAGAAAATGTTTGGTCTCTCTTTGCTCCGACGCACTAGTGGTGATGTTTACTTGAAGGACCCGTATGACAGGAGAAAGTGAAATAAGCACGAGATGTGACGAACTCTAGAAAAGTTTGCAAGTTTTGAAACGTGTTTTATATTTTTAGTAGTGTTGTTCATTGTAGGAGAGACAGATTTATAAGAAATTAATTAATCTCTCTCTTCTTTTTCTCTCTCTTCGCATAATAATTGTATTTAAACATATCGTCTTGTCTTATTATTATGTATTTTGTCAAACTTTATAGGAAAGTTAGAAAACTTGTGCCCAATCCGACCTGTATATTTGATACCAATAAAATATGTTTAAATCAAACATTACGCGTTATAGACATAACCAACGTCATTGCATAAAAATTACCACGAACGAGGTGTAATTCAAACCAACGCAATATGTACCAATGACCTTACCTTGATGACGTCCTTGGAACACAGGCTGTTCCGTCTGAGAGACTACATTATTGGAAAAACATCAGTTATCTAAATTGGAATCAGATACTTATCAGCACGAGACAGATCGATTTGTAGGTAGTAAAAACACTGAACTGTTATAGAGTGATGTTCGTCATCAAGCTTTGACAAGAATATTTTTTAGTTTCATGTTGAATGAAAGAAAAACCTTATGCAAACGTATCATGAATGCTAATTCATTCGGTTTGTAAAAGGGTTTTCTTTCATACCAGCATGAAACTAAAAGATATTCCTATCAAAGCTTTTAATTAATTTCTGAGATGGTTTCAAAAACAAAAAT